TGTCTCAACAAACATGGGTGTGCAGGTGCCTCTGGAGTAACAGTCTTTTGGGTATATCCCCAAGAGTGGTATTGCTGGATCAAATGGTAGATCGATGTCCAGCTTTTTAAGTAGCCTCCAAATTTTTTTCCAGAGTGGTTGTACTAGTCTACATTCCCACCAACAGTGTAAGAGGGTTCCTTTTTCCCCGCATCCTCGCCAACACCTGTTGTTGGTGGTGTTGCTGATGATGGCTATTCTAACAGGGGTGAGGTGGAATCTTAGTGTGGTTTTAATTTGCATTTCCTTTATTGCTAGAGATGGTGAGCATTTTTTCATGTGTTTTCTGGCCATTTGAATTTCTTCTTTTGAGAAAGTTCTGTTTAGTTCACCTGCCCATTTCTTTATTGGTTCATTAGTTTTGGGAGAATTTAGTTTTTTAAGTTCCCTGTATATTCTGGTTATCAGTCCTTTGTCTGATGTATAGTTGGCAAATATTTTCTCCCACTCTGTGGGTGTTCTCTTCAGTTTAGAGACCATTTCTTTTGATGAACAGAAGCTTTTTAGTTTTATGAGGTCCCATTTATCTATGCTATCTCTTAGTTGCTGTGCTGCCGGGGTTTCATTGAGAAAGTTCTTACCTATACCTACTAACTCCAGAGTATTTCCTACTCTTTCTTGTATCAACTTAAGAGTTTGGGGTCTGATATTAAGATCCTTGATCCATTTTGAGTTAATCTTGGTATAGGGTGATATACATGGATCTAGTTTCAGTTTTTTGCAGACTGCTAACCAGTTTTCCCAGCAGTTTTTGTTGAAGAGGCTGCTATTTCTCCATCGTATATTTTTAGATCCTTTGTCAAGTGAATTAATTCAAGGAAGAATATAAATAAAATGGCTAGTTTTCAGATATATGTTGACCTTTTTTCCAAAAAAGGTGGCAAAATTATTAATCATTTTATAATTGTGATATATTTATCATAATGTGGCCATATGAAGACTTAGCACATCACTACTAATATCCGATTAAAGTTATTTTAACAGTTAAAATCGTCTTTAACTATTTTGACAGTTGTTTTAGATTTAAAGCCATTGTTCAAAATGTTTTGCCACTGGAGAACACAGAGTCAGAAAGGCAAAAAAACAAAGAAAAGATGGAACAGAACATGGGGAATGAATATCTTCTTTGCTTATATTTTTAAAGGATATCAAAAAGAAGCAACTAACAAAACAAATAATGAAATACAGCAAATAATTGACAGGCTAAATTCAATTTCTGAACTATTGAATTACCTTTGTAGCAACAAATCTCTCTCTGAATAAAAATTAAATAGTTGACATTAACAGAAAAGCTTTGTGTCCAAGTCTGCCTAAGCAAAGAAACCAAACTTAAGATTTAAACAATAAAACTTGTATATAATGACAAAAACATCATACTGACATTTCTTCAGTGACCAAGGAAGGCTTCTTGGAGGATGTTCAACTTCAGCTAAGTTATATGGAAGAAGGAAATCTTTACAGGATACATAGAGATGAGAGGAATTTTGGATGGTGAGACAGCATGAACAAAAGGTAGTGTAGGGCAAAGATTCACTTCGGGCAAAGAAAATAGACGAACTTTATGAGTGCTGCTAGAGACAAACAGAAATTGATTTGAAAATGACATAATAAAGTCAGAGAGTGAGGAACACTGAAAATAATGGGTTTTCAGTTGAATATTCATATGACAAAAGTGAAACTTTGGTGAAACAAACTGATACAGTAATACTGTTCACAGTGTGGAAAGAAAATGATGTTATAAGAAGCATAAGAGAAGAAAGGAAAAAGGTTAATTTTTAAAGCTTAAACTAAAAAAATAAAGATGACTGTGAAGTTACAAGATCAAAGGCACAATTTTGCAAACAAGCGATCAGAGAAAAAAAGGTGTCAGAGATGACTCCTATGTTTCCAGCTTGAATGACTTGGAGAAAAATAATGACGTCTTCATAAACATGTAGGAGTGATATTTTGTTACTGACATTAAGCTGATTTGACAAGATGCAACTTCATAAAACTGCTGATTATCTCGTGGGAACAGGGTAACTGCTCCTCACAGCCATTTTGAGCTCATGTTGGCAACAACTTGTAACAAATCAGGCACATCAGTAAATTAAAAGGAGTAAGAGAGAAGTACAAGTGGGATACATTTCAATAAGTATTAGTTATCATTATTATGTGCAATGGAATCATTTTAAAATTTAAAATGATTTTGAACAAATGTAGAACCATTTTTTCCTTGATTTTTTGCAACATACATTTATTGAGTCCTTACTCAATGTGGAGTCATAGAGAGGGTTATACAAAAATGTAGATACTCTCTAAATAACACAAAATCTTTTTAGAGGTGAGAAAAATTTTAAAATCCACAAATAAACTCAACAAGGTAGTTGTTATTGGAATTTAGCCTTAAGGATAAAAAGGCTTATGAAAGGACTTAGATAAAAAGAAATGACTTTTGGTTAGATTAGGATGGTATGAAAAAAATGTTCAGAAGTGAAAATATAAAGGAATTTGAGGGGAATATTATACTTTTGTTGGAACACAGGGTACACATAGTAGAAAGGAAATGTATAATTTAGAGCCATGTTGTAAAGGTCACAATTCCAAAATAAGAGATTTGGAGTATTTAAACAGGATATGAGGAGTCATTCTAAGTGTTCATTTCTGATAAAAATTGATGATGATGATTGTGATGGTGATGGTGGAGATAATGATGGTAACTCCTCACTGTGTAGCAGGTTTATTCATTAAAAAAAAAAAAGACTCTCCTGATGAGTGGCTAAATAGTTTAAGATTAAGTTGTCATAGTTATCATTAGGGGAGATAATAGTTAAATAAGTCACAGATGATGCTGTTATAGAATTAACAATGTATCTAACTAAAGAAACAGGCAACATATATTCTCCTATCTCCATAACATAAGATAGGTTTATGAAACAGGTAATCAGTAGATATGTAAAAACTACTGCAAGGTCTTGTTAATAGCCTCTTTTCACCGATCCCCACTAAGAAGTAGGCACAATGCTAGGTTCATCATATAAGTTATCATACTACTTCTCTACTTTAAAACCTTTAGTGCATTGCTATTGCTTATAGTAGAAAACAAAGAATTCCTTACCACAGTGGCCCAAGACATTCCTTTCTCCCACCTTATACTCATCCAGAAAGAGTAGCTCTTCAGAAGGTATCAAACTGTTTTTTGCATCAGAACTCTGCATTTGTTGTTTATTCTGTTGTATTTCCACAGATTCTTAGCTTCTTATTATTCAACTTTACATCTAAAATAATATAATTCATTTCATTATTGTTTATATTTTCACAAACAGAGTCAGCATTTGACGTATAATAGAAACTCATAATTATATATGGAATCAAGAAACACATGAATCATCTTGCTTTAGTTCTCACATCATCTGATTCAGGAACTATCAGTAGATATTCTGAATCATCTGATTCAGAAGTATGAAGGCCAATCACCTATGGTCACCAAGGTCATCTTTGAAAGGACATAGTTGAAAATGATCCCAAAGCCTTTCCATGCCCTTGCATCATTGTGTTGTGTAAAGGAGAAACTGATGCCAGTGTTGGGTTCTTTAGGGAAATTTCAATGCCTTATTTAGAAGTTTGGTAAAGGACCAAATTCAGTGAAAGTGACTGAATGAATAAAAATATCAATATATTCTAGGAACAATAAATATCTGAAATCCCTAAAGAAAGAAAATATCTCTGAGAAAGTAGCTCACTTTTGATAATTCTTTTCCAATTTTTTTCTTCTTTTCTGCTTCCTAAAATAACATTTATTAAAATATTTTATATTATTTTATCTACCATTCAATCCCTAAAACACTTGAAGATATGTATAATCACTCTTCAGTTTTATACCTTGAAAATTGAATGGGAAATGAAACCATAGAATTTGCTTCACTCACACAGCAGTAGCAGCAGAGGAGGAGTAGAATTGTGTTCTGTTTATGATTTAATTTCTTATCAATGTAGCACAAAGGACCGTTGATAGTCTTTCCTTCACCAGACTCCCAAAGTCTAGCATTTTATAATCTCTTCCATTTTCCCAAGAGAATTTTCTTACTATCCAATGAATATTTATTAACTGTTACATGATAGGCTTTCTGCTAAGTTCTGGAAAATGGGTAAATAAGATACAACACCTGTCTTTGTGTAGCTTATAATTTGAAGATTCATATCTCTTTTGTATTTGGTGAATATTTTCAGTTTAAGTTAGTTATCATATATAAAAAATTGTCTACTTCTGTGAATATCCTAAAATATATATAGTGTTGGACAAGTATCTTCACTAGAGAGTTGGGGGTATTTTACATATTTTCAGGTTATTAGTGTGTTCCAATATAGTGTAACTCTTTTAAGATCCTGAGTAGGATACTTATGTGTAGTAATGTTAAAAGGACAAGAATACACACACACACACACACACACACACACACACACACACACACACACGTTCTGTGAGGGATATAAGAGTCAGTAAAAAGGAGATGTTATTTGATTCACTTACTAAGCAAAAAGAAATAAAAATTAGACAGAAAAGCAATGTTTTGGGGAAGCTATGAAGAATAGGAATGGTGGATGCAATCTAGTAAATTCTAGTTACATTTCTACTTACTGAAAGTAGGTATTCAGGTCAAAGTACAAGAAAAAATATAAGTGGGAAAAGACATTTAAAATTATAAACCAGTGGTTTGCTTTTCACTTAGCCTTTTCTTTTAATATCCAAATAGGGCTTTCCTTCTGTGTCCTCTCAATGCCACCTCTCTTAGCTACAAAAAGTAATTAAGCCAAGTTTATGCTCTGTATTTCAGAAAATGAATGCATGGCCTTTCTGCTGTTTTGCATCAGATTATCTTTGTGTTTGGAAAAAATCAAATAATATGTGTATCTATTGCCTTTGTCAACAATATATTTTTTGATTGGACTAATCTAATTATAGGCAACCTTGCTTTCCGCAGATTAACATTGACTTCAGTACCAGAGACCTCATCTCAAAGAATATTGCTGAACCAACTCTCAAATGCTTTGATGAGGCTCAGAAATTAATCTACAGTCTCATGGCCAAGGATTCTTTTCCTCGATTTCTAAAGTCAGAGATTTATAAGAAGCTGGTAAATAGCCAACAGGTTGCAAATCATAAAAGATGGCTTCCTTTCTTGTGAAGAAGTTAAACGGAAACTAGTAACTATAGTCCAAGGCTAAAACGTTTGAACTGTACAAACACAATGCAAAAATGTTTTAAGGTTCAGAAATCACTTTTCTGAATTTTTAAGTCCTTTGTTTGGAATTTATTTCTTTTATCAGGTATTTAAAAATCTACAGGGAGAGGACAAAGTGATTTTGTAGAATTTTAGCCCATAAGTGGATCTTCTTATGACATCACTAACACAAGGAACTATATATCTTCATAATGCAGAGTGGAAAGATATCTAGCACCATAGACGTTCTTTTAAATGCCATTTGCATTATTTAAAACCTCACTTCTGTAAGAAGAAAACTGAACCAAAACACAGCTTCCATTTAGTGTATTTGACTGTTTTTCTTCAATGGTTTGTTTTCAATCATTAATGTGATGTTTGTTCAAAATTCTATGTCTCTAACATTAATTTAAAAGAATAAAAGAATTTTAAAAATTAAAAGAATAAATGCACATGTACATGTATGTCTGATAGTGCCAGGAACCGAAATTTTTCAATTAAATTTTTATTTAATTTTTCAATTAAATAGCATCACATAAGCTTATAAAGAAAAGGGCCTTGAAGGAGGGGCATATTTATTCTGTTATATTGCAAGAATATAAAAGAAAGAGGTAGAATAAGAAACATAGATAAGTCATTAGATGATAAACAACATGACAGTGACTGTCGTATAAAATATAAAAAGATTCATATATTGTCTACTTACTTGTGGGTTTAGAATTGATTTAATAATTCAGCCCTGACAAATGTTCATAAAACTCAAATAAATTTTCAAATTTTTATTTTGAGATTTTTGCTAAAATTGCTTCATTATATAAATTCTTGTGATTAATATGAATTATTTACTGTTAATATGAGAAATTACAAAGAGTCAACAGATCTTCAATATTTCTATTTTATTTGCACATATTTGATTTTCTTTATTGCTGTTTCCGTTTTGAGATTGAACATTTAGAAACTAAGGAAAAATAGCACAACTTACTTTGTTTCCACAAACTATACATTTGATAGACAAATTTTTTTCTCCTTTTCATCGTGAAAAGTAAACATTTACACACATGCAAATCGAATATTCCCTGTACATTTGCAAATTCTATAAGGTACAGCATAGTACAAACTGGTGCTGACGTATTTAGTGTGCATTCTTGTGCATTGACTGGAAAAAACAGATTTAGTTTTCAGCATTTATTCTGGAGGTCTCATCCTAAATCTCTGTTTAAGTAGGAAATTTTTAATTATTTCAAGAATCGAAATACTCTTTTGAAGACAGGAAAATCTTAGAAACTAAAATCACATTCCTATATTAAGACAAGATATAATTAACAGATTTTCTAATACTAAATGTAAAACTCTAAGGACTTTATGGCATTAAAAATATGATCCAATCTCAAACATTATCTTCACAAATTTGTTTGTTTTCTGTAAAACAGAAGTTTTTATCCTGCGCATATGCAGAGTTCATTCTGCTCACTTTTGTTGTTTGTTACTTTGCAACATTTCTAAATCTTTGTGATGTAGCAACTTTGTTTACCCCATAGCAGCCTCAATTAGAGGATCTGTTGATTTAATAAAAGGAGAGAGAAGTGTTTTCTGTTTCCTTTCTAATATTCTTTCTAGAGAAGCTCAGCATCACCTTGACCTTTTAAACCAAAGTAGCATTCTGGGCCATAACTTTAGGGAACATTCTAGATTTGTCTCCCAGAATTTCAAGAACTCAAGTTCATTAATTACATTGGACTTGAAATCTAAATGAAATTTCCCTTCTCTTTGTCTGTGAGGAAGTGCTTCAGCTAGTATTCACTATCCACATAGGCTGTGGGCTAATGTGTCCAATCACTTTGAATCATTATTGGAAAACTAAAAGGACTTCCACTATAGAAAAAAAAGAAAAGGAAATTCTCTTTAAAAACAAAACATGCAGTTTGATCTCACCATCCCATTTGTTTCCCATGCAAAAATTCTATCTCTAGCCTTCAACCACACAATCAATGCATAGCCATTTCACAACATTTCACAACAATATCTGAAATTGGCTTGATTTACTTCCCAAATACACAGTCATGTAGTTTATTTCATAGTGATGTCAATTATTTTAAAGTGAACTATTTCTACAGTTATGGGTGGGATGTTTTCACAGCAGTAATCAATTATGATATGAATAAAGAATCACACAGACCATATTCTTCCTGCCGTTTTTCAGACTTTTCCATTGCATTTTACTAAGAAACCATCAAGAATGACTACCAGGTGATGACTACTTACTGTATGCCATTTTGGAAGAAATATTGCATGTTGTGTTTACTTACCATTTATAGATTGTAGTAAAATAGAGAATAAATGTATAATTAATTTTAATAATAAATGAAAGGACACTGTTGTGTTTCCAATTATAATAAAAGGAAGGAAAATAATTTTGAAATACCACATTTTTTCTGTTTGTATTAATGTATATTAATTGAACAAAGTAATATGTTTCATGATGGCATTTTCACATATGTATATAACATACTTTGATCGATTTCACCTGCCATCGCCCTTTCTTGCCCCCTCCCTCTGATCGCCTTTCTCTTCCTGAATAATCCCCCTGCTACTTTCATGTAAGACCTTATTTTTCCATTGTTTTATATGTATTATTTTTTATTTTGTTGTACTGAGGGTACATTGTGCCAAATACAGAAGTTTTCACAATATATCACAGCTAAATTCACCCCTGCCCTCATTCTCCTTTATCCCTCTCTACCACCATTCCTGGAATAGTTTCTACAGGTAAGACTTTACTTTTTAAATAAATCACATCATCTTTTTCTTCTCGTTTTGACTGAGATGCAAAAATAGTAGTATAAGCCAAATGCAGCACTCAGGAAGATGAGACAGGAGGACCTCACATTTGAGACCAGCCTGAGCAACTAGTGGAGTCTACTTCAAAAAAAAAAAAAGGATTGGATGGATGTCAGGTAAAGGAAAAGAAGAAACAAAACACTGATGTTCAGCCACTAAACACTTACTCTTTGTATTATAACTAGAATAAAGTCAGCTATGAATAATTCTCAGAAGCAAAAATTACACTGTTCAATTCATATTATTTCTTCTTAATTAATTTCCTAGGTATCACACATAAAATATTTATTTCTGTTTTCAAAAATAAGAATTTTTTGATGTATTTAATTAATTCTTTATAAAATGGTATGGGTTCTTTGTTCTAATACTTTTATTTCTTTTGTGTATTCAGGAAAATAGTTTGTGATATTTGGAATATTTATATTGTCAATGGTGATGCTTTAGAGAAAAAATATAACAAATAACTGTCTCTTTTAAAAAGTAATGATAAGCAAATATTTAGACGTTTCATAATTTAAATAGATTGAGCATTCCTGCATTTATTTCTTATAGATTGATTTCTTGTGGTTGTTATAGAATATGAAATGCTCTCACAGACTATTGTGTTGAGACTTGGTCTCCAGCTGGTGGAGCTATTTTGAGATGTTCTGGAAAACTTAAGAGGTAGAACCTAGTTGGAGGAAGTAGGTCACTGGGGGCATATGTCCTTGGGGGCAAAATATCTGGCCCTACCACTTTCTGGATTCCCTTTTGTCTGCTTCTTGGCTGCAATGAGGTGCCTAGCCCACCTGTTTCACATGCTCCACCAACATGATGTTCTGCTCGCCATGGCTGAACCTCTGAAATAGTGAGCCAAAATACAGCTTTTCTTTTTATGTATGTAATGTGTTCTGTCAGACAGTGTAACTAACTGTCTTCTTTTTTATACTGTCAGGTTAGGCCTTTCAAAAGTGAATTTTTTTGTATGATGCTTTTTTAAAATTCTGCTTTCCAAATATTTCATCTTTACCCCAAAGACATAATCATGGATTCAGAATCACAAGACTGGTTTTCTTACTTCTTATATGGAAAAGATAGAACAAACAGTTTTTAATTTCTGAATGTGAATCTTTTATGAGACCAGCCCAAAAACCATTGTTAAATACCAAGACCATATTAAGGGAGATTTAAATTATTGAATTCATGATTGATCTACTAAATTTTGCCTTAAAAGTATTGTTACTTGTTTAAGGATTAAGCCCTCACTGTATTTTAAGCTAGATAAAGCCATTTTCCCAAATTCAGTTTTTATACTCAGTGACAGAAAGTAGCAAAGAGTAAATAGCATTGACAGATAGGGCTTTCATGAATTTAGAACTTTGCTGAGAAATCTAAAGTCCAAGGCATATATGAACATGTGTACATGTCCACTTAGTGAACTCTGTTCTAGTTTGTTTTGTTTTTTGAAAGTGTTAATGATTTAGGGTCTATAAGTTGTAATAATTCTACTTCAAGTAAGAGTAAAACCTCAGAAAAAAATAAAATGTGAAGAGTGTTCATCAATGCAGAAGATCCAATTTCTTTTTTTTGTTTATTTATTGACATGTGCATACATTGTTTGGCCATTTGTCTCCCTTCCCCCCCGCCCTGCCCCCTCACTCTTCCTTCATTCCTCTTGCTTCCAGGCAGAACCTGTTCTGCCCTCTTCTCCAATTTTGTTGAAGAGAAGACATAAGCAATAATAAGAAAGACATAGCATTTTTGCTAGTTGAGATAAGCATAGCTACACAGAGAGATTTTTAGCATTGCTTCCATGCCCAAGTGTACTTCAACCCAAATTGCTTCATCTCTACCTGACCTCTTCACTACTTCCCAGTCACCTTCCCATATGACCTCTGTCGTTTTAAGTTTACTGTGTTCGATCCTGTGCAATGTGGACCTCAAACACTTACAAGTTTTGGGTTTCCTACCTTTCCCCATTCCTCCCATATGTGCTCTCCCCTTAACATATGACCCAAATCCAACAACATTGCTGCATTTTCCCTAGATCTAAAGTCTGCATATGAGGGAGAACATACTATTTTCGGTCTTCTGAGCCTGGCTAACCTCATTCAAGATGATGTTCTCCAGTTCCATCCATTTACTTGAGAATGATAAGATTTCATTAGAAGATCCAATTTCTTGATCTTCATATTTAAAAAGGAGCAAAATATAA